TGTTTGAGTAGGATTGGGAACTGACACAACTAAACAGTTGGAGGAACAAGCAACAACTTCCTCCAACAATGTGTCAATGGAGAAATTGGCAACGATTGATCCACTGGCCACTATAGTCTATTTATTGTAACTTGGCACCTACTGTAAACAAAGATTTTGTTGTATTAATTTGCCAGAGATTTTTATTGGTCAAATCACAATCAGAAGTGTCTAGACACGTGTTGACCAGTTAAGCCCCTTTCTCTGCACATGTTAAAATAGGTCAGAGTGGTTACAATTTAAAAATTACCAAGATAATACTTAGAAAACTTATTATAGCCTACTTTAACATTTTTACGTAGCCGTTTAAATTATTTCCATTGTTTAAATATAGTTTGTCAAAAATTATTATTAAATATAGTCTATATTATTAAAACTTACACAAAACATATTTATAATTGTGTAGTTGAACATACTTCAGAATTTTTATCTACACAACCATTTTATTAAATAGATATAAAACAAAACAAAAAACAAATTCTCTGGCAATCCTTAAAAATCATACTCAAACCTCTAAAGGAAAATGTTATGGTAATGTATGAATTTATCTATGTGATATTTATATAATTAAAAATTTTTTTAAATAATTAGTGTAAACTTATCTTATTAATCATCTGTATCAGAAGATAGTTGCTCAAATTAATAATTTATATCGCTTTTGTCACTACTTGTGTTCAACTACATAATCAGTTTTTCTACAACGGTTTCTGAAATCTCATCAAGTTCCCACATTCGTTGTTCTTTTTCTATATGTTCGATACATTTTCTCCATCTTTCTTCGGCCATTTGTTTGACAACACACAGTTTGAAATAATGATAGTTAATATAATGAATGGAAAACATTATAGTGCGCATGACCGGAAAAAGTTTATTTTTAGTGATTCAGAATGTGCAAATATTCATTAAAATAGCAATTTAACAAGTATGAAATAATTACATTTATAATCATTGCTAAGTGACTACTATTTCATTAATGATTTTATAAATAATGAAGAACTATTTTCTGTGGACAAATGACATGCAACATGGTTTCTAATTGATGGACGTGGGTTTAAGCCAATAAACAATGGGAGGTGTGTCTTAGTTTGTTTACAGTAGGTGCCAAGTTAGGATAAATAGACTATAGTTGTTATGTTAAAATGATGAAATTAGGACAGCAGGTCAGAAAATTGCGGAAAGCATCTTTTTTGACATTGAGAACTTAAAGGAAGATATACTCCCAGATGTGACAGTTGACAGATATTTGACAAAGTTATTATTAAGAAGTTATGTTGTTTTTTAAAGTTTGGATTCTCCCATTTGTGTCTGGAGGCTCCATGGTGAATGCCTCAATCTTGCCTATGCTTTAGAGCAGCACATTGCTCTACAGATGGCGTGATGGTCTGAAATGCCATCACATATGTATATTTCTGACAAAAATTTATCAATTTACACATGATTTTTTGTTGAACAAAAAAATTGCTTGGTAAAGACTTCATATTAATATATAAATATTTTCATATATAAAAAACATTAAGAAAATAAGTTTCTCTTATGCCTGTATCAAAGGGCAGAAAAATAGTATATCTGTTATGGCCAAAGCCCTAACTTCAGTCAATGAGAGGGGTGGCTCGTGGTCCAATGTACTTGAAATGACAAGTGTATATGCTACTTTGGCTGGACATTTCACAAAGTGGCAGGAAATACCTGGCCAAAATTTGATGTGCTGATGCAATACTGTTCGGTAGGTGGCATATCTTTTGGTATAGTGTGATGGTGGCATTCATATGCCAGCAAAGAAGGTGCTGTGCTGTGACAACAATATTTTGTGTCTGCTGCTTTTTGGAGAAGGTTCTGCCTCTGTGATTTGATCTTATTATTCTGACATAGAGAGCAGTGTATTCTTCATATTTCTATAGTATTCTATATGAATGCTTTCAGTTCAAAGGTTAAGTCATAGGGCACATATAACATGAGTTGTGGGATACATGTGATGACACATATTGCTGGAAGGCGCATACAGTAATTATGCTGAGGTTAATAAAGGATTGTTTGCTATGACACATTTTTCTTTAAAGGAACATGCTAAATCAGAACAGAACACAGCTTATTGGGGCTGTATCCCATGTAATGATATTTCAATTTCTAGTATTTATAATTGTTATTTTATATGCTGGGCTGTCCCATGGCTACTTTTGATGGGATGGGTATGCTGGGTGAAGTTGGAGTACACAAATGTGGAACCAATATTTGATATGAAAATCAGGTTCTTGGATACTTTGAATATGTTGCTGCAAGAAAAAGCAAATACAGTAGAGTCTCGAAAACTTGGCACTCGATAACCTGGTAGTCCAGATAACTCGGCCACACTCTGGCAGGGCAAAAAAATCCTTAGTTAATTAATTTTCATTATAGACAGCTTTATGCCTCATAAAGTATTTTTCTGAAGTCTGTCTTATCAGGTAAATTACTGTACACAGTATATTCATTAATTTTCATTTTCATGTAGTAAAGGCTCTATGCCTTCATAAAGTATGTACTTTTCCTTTGTTTAAGGGTATTTTGGCAGTTTATTCTTTGTTGTATTTTTAAACAAACAATACCTACAAGTACAGTACAGTATTTTCTGAGGAAACACTCATACTTATTTTAATGCCATTCCCGATAACCCAGCATTTTCACAAACTTGGCCACTTTTCGGTCTACATTAGGCCAAGTTTTCGAGACTCTACTGTAATAGCAGGATTCTTACCAGAGACAAATACTGCACTTTATAGAGGACATTAAACAGGCTAAAGCAAAGCATAAAAAAGAAGTGCTGACTATTGTCAACTAAGAAGATATGATGTTATTGAAGTTGACAGCAAAGAAAAACTTATTGTGCAAGTAGCAGGAGACAATAGCAGTATTTTGCACTATATGCAGACAAAAGAATTATTTGACTTACTGCATGATATCTACTTGAAAATTTTTATTAATTGCAAATGTCATCTTTAGTATTTCTCCATGTAATAGATACAATGCTTAATTAACCACACAGTTATTGATTCCCTTATCTCCACACAAGTGGAACAGGAGGTTGGAGGATTGAATCTAATGTACACTTTAAGCCATAATGAAACACTTTGCACGTTTTCTATTGTGTGTGTATAGGTTTTGCTGGCACTTTCAAACTGCATGTAGCAGCATTTGGTTGGTGTCTACTGCATCTGTTGCATCCTTGAAAGAAGGCTTACATGGCTGAACATCATTGTCAACTTCCCTTTAATTTATGGAATCATCACTTTCATAGAGCAATGTTCTGAAACTATTGTACAAAGTATGAAGGTGTTTCAATAAGTAATTCCTTTTATTTTTTCAAAATAAATGTTTTAATGTGTGTGCAAAAATGTGAATATAGTAAATGAAGTTTGAATTTTTGGCAACACTATTCACGATAGGAACACTCGTGTTGCCTGTCGAACATTTATGACAAGTGGAAAGAAAAGATCAGCAAAATGTTATTCGTTTTCTATGGGCAGGGGGCCCATAGAAAACGAAATGTGAACAAATTTATGCAGAAATGCAGAAAGTGTACGGTGATGATTACATGAACTACTCAAACGTCCATTGATGGTGCGAAATGTTTAGAAACAGTTGTCAGTGTGTGATTGATAAGCACAGGTCAGGTCGTCCGGTAAGTACAGCTTTGCCTCAAACAGTCACTGCTGTTAATCAAACGATTTAATGCAACTGTCACATTCACTTGAAGGCACTGTTGGAAAAATTATTCGGCGTCCTGTTTGGTCCTTTGAAGAAATTCATGGCTAGAGAGCGATTCCATTCGAACGAGGAGGTTAAGTCAGCTGTTTGCAGATTGTTGTATGGCCGGGAAACTGCATTGTACAATGCAGCATCTTAAAGCAGGGCACTGCTGGGACAAGTGCTTTAACCTGAATGGTTCCTATGTCAAGAAATAGCCTAATTCACATATTTCATTTTGTATATTCTGTATTTTCTTTCCACATGCATTAATTTAACACTTTGTTTAAAAAAATAAAAGGCATTACTGATTGAAACCCCCTCATATGACATATGAGTTTGAGTTATGTTAATAGCAGCATGCATGCAGCCAAGGCACTAAATTTTTTCTTTTTCTTCCAAAATAGTAAAAGACAAAAAGCCAAATTGGCACAAAGTAACCAAACCTGGCATCACTGTATGCACTTTCCAATGTGCAAAGTAGCAGGTGTTTGCATAGGACTGCATCCATTTAAGGAGTGATGTCCTTAAAGTTTAGCCTCTGTTTTCTAAATATAAGTACAGTAGGATGGTCTGCTAAAATTGCACTACAATTGGAGGTTGAATTTGATTTTGCTTACTGAGAGAAGAAAATGTATTTTAATCAAAATGGGGCATTTATTACAATACCACTTTTTATTGTTTACTATGAAAAGTGTAAAAAAAACCTGTTATTGGAAATAGTTATTTTTTGAGGGTTGTAGAGGTAATTTACAGTTTGATTTAATGAATTTTGGAATATTTTTTGTTCACTTTATCAACTGAATATTAAAATTGTGACAATGACATTTTGCAAGCGCAACAGCAAAATTCACTTTAACACAAGAATTTGCTTTGTTAGTGTTTGTTTTAAGGCAAGTTGACTGTATTTATAAATTGCTAATTGGTCTTAAGGATTTGTAAATAACACAAATAAGCTTCAATTTTTAACATATTATTTGTTCTCTAACTTAAGATATTTTTATTAACATATATTAATTTAATATTTATTAAAGATTTATCTGCTAGAAAATACTTCAAGATTTCAAAAAAAAAAAGAAACAAATGTAGCTAATACATTCATGCATATCTAAAATAATTTCTATAGTTGATTTCTATTTATTATTATTCAGAATATTATAGAAAATACAATTTTATATTTTCTTAAATTAATCTTTTTAAATAAACACAATTAAACGTTGACTGATTTTAATTTTTATTAATTTTATTTTTTCAGCAACAGTTTATGCATTCAACTGCTGGTCGATTTCCTCCATGGATGAATATGGTAGACCAATCAAGACTACCTTTTATGGATAGCAAAACTTTTTTTAATATGACTAATAATATGGGAAATATAAATCCACAACTTTTGGCTGGTACAAGTATGTCATACAATTCTTTTATTAATGGCAATGGCCAAATAAATCATCCAACATTGCTTAATGAAGAAATGACAAAATTATGGATGAATGGTACAGCACCATTTAATGTTTTTACAGTAAGTATATTTTAAATAAATAAATTATTAAGGAACTACAAAATCTCTGTGATATAGTTATGAGATAACCTTTTCAGATTAGTTCTGATTCTTTTAATATCAATGAACTCTTTCAAATCCTTTATTGCAGAATAGTATATCTTGCTTAATTGTTCCTTCTTATCTGCTGTTGTCTCCAACCATGTTTCCATCTAGTAATAACTGGAACATGGGGTAACCAAAAGAAAAGACTAAATTTTCTAGAATGTCCAATTACTCTCACCATTGATGTAGATATTTGACAAGTGCTGTTTTCATTTGCTTTGTATTGATCAATATGTTTGCATTGAAATCTAAATTTTAGTTGAAAGATGCAATACATAAGACCATTAGGTGTACACAAACTGCAGTTAATCTCTTTCCAGCAGCAATAGTGTAAGAAGCTCTGTTGAAAAGGAAGGCAATCAAAATTATAAAATCTTGATTTATAGATTGTTCTAAAATTGTTAATTCTAATGTTCAGTACTGTATCTGCTTTACACTTTTATATAATGTAGGTTAAAACCAACTGAAAATTAATTAGATTGCTGCTTAATGAAGCAACCAATAAGTTAACATTTATTCCTTTGCAATTCCTGACATTTACTCTTTCATAACAACTTTGTAAAATAAGCTTAAATTGCATTTATTTTAAAGCAAAATTGTAATGTATCTTCTAAATCATAACTCCCAATTTTGGAAAGAAGGCAAGGTGGATTTACATGGCAGTTTACTATCAACAGTAACATTCTCCTTCATCCATGTTCAGATTTACTTTTTTCTAAAAACCTTGAAAGAAATTTCTATATTCAAAATTGCTCAAACTGTATTTTCTCATTTATCCCTAGCTGATTTAACTTTTGATAAATTGGGATACTTTTGTTTTATGTTTTTTTTTTCCTTAGAAATCATGAAATAAACAATTCCATTGAACTATAATTATCTGATCTTGAAAATACTATAAATGAAAACGAAATGAAACTAACGTATTATTTTAGGTTTTCTTTGAATTTCGCAGAGTTTGACACTAATAGATAGATAAGAAGTAAAAATAAAAGAAACTAATGTAATGCATATATATACCCAATTTTGATTTTACATGGTAGATAAATTGCTGAAAAATCATTAAAAAGAAGATGTCTATATATGAAAAATAAAAGATTGGTTTTCAAATCTAAAAACCAGTAAAAATGTTACAATAAATAAATTAATATAATAGTGTGTGTTTAAACAAAATATTGCCATTTTACTTAATAAATTGGAGGAGGGACATTTGTAACTTACCAGCAAAATTCAATAAATTTATTTTATTTGCTCCAGTTTAAATTTAAATTTTATTTTTTTTCAATTAAATACCAAAATTCTTGTAGCTTTTAATATCAAATGACATAAAAATTATCGTGCATTGATTGAATTTGAATTGGACTGGATGTGCAGATATGGAAAAACATTATCTATCATTTTAGCTTTTGATACCAGCAGAAAACAACAAGCACTCAAGAGAATAAGACAATGTGGTTCATTGTTGTACCCTGTATAATGAAGTTGGCAGTTGCCACTTGAAATATTTATTGTAAATACACAGAAAATATCAAAGAATTGTACGTACATACCTAGTATTCATTATTTCAATACTATACACAATGAGACAGGAAGGTAAATGGAGAGGAATGGTGGGTGATTTCTTATTAGCACAAGTATATCCAAATTTTTAGTGGGCCATAGCTCTACCAATTTTTGTTTCTGACCCTAGGTTGCTTCATGAACTACACACAAATCAAGAAGGAAGTCTGGAAGTCTCTCTTGGGAGGTTTTCCTATGAGAAATTAATCTTTATTTAGGTGTTAGATACATGTTGAAAACATGTGAAATTTCTTACAACCAGTCTGTTTGTCAGGAATGAACCCAGGATCAACTATTGATGTTCAGTGGTGACTGTCCACTTGTCCATTGATGGATCGGACCCCATATTGAAAGAAATTAGAGATGATGCAGTCATACAAACAATTGTCAAGCTTTGAACTAAATTTTTCTTGATTGCTTCAATAACAGGATACAGTCAGAATGAATGACTGTCATTGCACAAGTTCAAAAAAGCCATAAAAAAGCATTTAAATATTAATATTTACTCAAGTGTGTGACAACCTTAAATACAAATTCTAAGATTGCTTTTTTTTAAATAGAAAAGAAAGTAAATTATTTTCTTAAAATCTAATAGAGATTTTTAAAAGGTTTAATTTAACAAAATGTTATATCAAAACAAATAATGTAAAAAAATAATTGGTGTTTTTTCAGATCCTGTTGTTACAAAATCAGTGTAAAAGCAATTGGGTGTATCTGCTTTATTCATTTTTTTTTTTTTTTTCACTTTCTGCTATAAGTGTATATTAGTATAAATGTATTTTTCATCTAAATTTTTAGTAATCTAAGTTTATAAACAATTCTTATTGTAAGTTAGAAAATATACAATGATTTATAATTTTTTTTATTAGCCTGATGGTATGATGAGAACACAAACTGTTGAAACTGAAGAAGGTGATGAAGAGGAAGAGGAACTAGGTCATGCTGAAACTTACGCTGAATACAAACCTTCCAAGTGTAATTATTTTTTAAAATTTAATTTAAATCTAAGAAAGTAAAAATAAACATTGGATGTCACTAAGAAAAATTTATTTTGAGAAGATTGATTTCATTTTAAATTTTGATTTATTTAATGAAAAATTTTTACTCATAATAAAAAAAATGATATATTATATTTCTTGAATTAAAGGCACTCCTAAAATTATAGCACCTTTGTATTTAAAGTGCACATAGTTAGATACATGGAAAATAGAAGCATGTGAGTGACCAGAAGTATTAGGAATATAACAAAGGGGGCAAATTTAAACCCATGCCTTTTAAAATTAATTGGCCGATGGATGTGTAATACTTGAAACTCATTATTAACTGAATCTATTTAAAAGTCTTTCAAAGTTTATAAAATATGAAATCAATAGTTACAGATAATTCCAAAGATGAATTTCAGCTTTTAAATCTAGATGAGTTGTGATAGAGGACTGAAATTATTACATGTGAATACATTAAAAGAAGAGTTATAAATAATGAACAAGAAATATTGGATTATCCAGAAAGTTTTCTAGAGTTTTCAGGAAAATTTTAATTGCTTATATAAAATGATAATGATGTCATATTAAGAAAATTTATGATTTGTTTGAAAGATAGCAGGCAAATTTATCAACAAGAAATATTAGTTGTCATTTTTGAACTATTAAAGTGGAGAGTAAAATAGTACCTTTTCAATATTGTTTACATTTAGCATTCATTCATGAAAGTTCAGTTATTTAGTTTTAAGTTTCATTATTTTAAAAAAAATTAAAATCGGTTAACTATTTGAAATAATACTCTGATACTTTTTCTTCTTCTTCTTCTGGTTCCATATTCATTACTGAAATTAGGATTAGTATTATAACAATCTCAATTATGCTTCATGTGTGAGTTCTTCTGCTTTCTTATTTTTCCATTCACATATATTGCCTAACTAACTTTTCCTTCTCCTTCTTGGGCTTTTCTTTCCACAGATTTTCCCCTCTAAAATATTTCTTAAAATTTCATATTTACTTCCTCAGATGATGTGGCCAAAATACCCCGTCTTTCTTCTTTTAACTGTATTTAAACTTTTTTTTCCCCATTCTTTCCAAAACTTCTTCATTTGTTATTCTATCTGTCCAAGATATTTTTAAAATGAACAGCAACAAAAACACCAGGATGTGTTACAAAAAATCATACTTCTAGAACTTATTTCCTTCTGCGAGTTCTTCCTCAGGTGAAAAGGGAGTTTCTGATGGGACGGAGTGATCGGTTAAGTGAGGGAACCTCTTCTTAAAAGCAGAAACTCCCTTTTCACCTGAGGAAGAACTCACAGAAGTTCAAAAACGTTTGTGGCAAACTTTTTCTTTTGTTTTTTCTTCACACCAGAAATAGGTTCTAGGAGTAGATTTTTTTATATTTTTAAAATTCTTCTATACAACCACACTTTGAACACTTCAAGTCTGTTTAGCATATTTTTATCTAAGGTCCATGTTTCTACTCCATAAAACAAAACTGACATCATATAGCACCTTAACATTCTAACTTTAAGATTTAAATTAACCCTTAACTGGTTTCGTAAATTTTACAATTATAACTGGTATCATGGGGGCTGTGCAGCCCCCAAGCAAAATTTGCCTTTAGAGAGCAAGTTTAACAATGTGACAGTTCAAAACTGCATAAATGCTAAATGGAACCCTTCTTTAGTATAATCTTTTATTTATTTATATTATTTTCTTTACTTAATTATTACAAGAGATCACAAAATTGTTACAACTTTTGGTGTATGCTTTTTTTAACAAAACAAAAATCTACCCTATTGTAAGTTTTTACCAAAGATATTTTTTTTTCTTATTCTTAAGAAACTAATCTTATAAAAAAGTATCTCTTATAGCCTCTAACTATCATTTGTTAAAAAACCACAGGTAATATAATCACTTCTATTTTTAAGACTCAGGAACATTTTAACGCAATTACGTAGTTCAGTCTTGAGAGTTATCACATAGTATTTTTGTAGTACTATGCACTTTGCAAATAAATTTCAAACAACTGTTGCACTTAGTAGCATACTTACCATCTTTTTTTCCAGCACAAAATGACAACATACTCTTTTCAGGAGATTTTGGCTTGATCTAGCAATTTGTATAATATTATCATCTATTAGCAGTTCAAATGATTCTTTGGTAGTCATTTTGAATTTTTGATGAAAGATTAAAATATCTTTGCAAAATAATTGTAAAAATAAAAAAACCATAAAAACACATTTCCACAAAAAACCAGCGTAACTGGTATCGTGGGGGCTGCGCGGCCCCCAGAAGGTACGTAGCTCCATCCTTGTAAGTGCTACAGGGCCGAACATTTGGCACTCACTAAGAGTCACAACGTAATGAGATTACATAAAATGGCAGCTGCGCACGATATTTAGTTTTTTAAAAAATTGTAAAAATATGACGCGTGGGAGCCGCGCGGCCCCCATAAAACCAGTTAAGGGTTAAAAATAAATTTGCATTTGTTCTATTGCATTTGAAAAATTTCTGCATTCTGATAAAAGTACCTCTCACATTTTCTATTTTAAATTTAATTTCTTTAATGCATCTGTCATTATTTTGTATGTTAGTTTCCAAACACTTAATTGATGAAACTCTATCAATTGTTCTGTTTTGTATCTGCAACCTTACATTATCTATATTTTCTTGCATGAAATAAGTAGTTTTGTTTTCTTATAATTCATCTGAAGTCTGTAGAATTTACTTATTGAATTAATCTTTTCCATTAATATTGTCAAATCATTTATATTTTCTGCTAAAACCACTGTATCGTTAGCATAACATATATTATTTACATTCATCCCATTTATTACAATCCCAATGTGTTCCATATCTTCTAAAGCTTCTTTAAAAATTTCATCTGAATAAATATTAAGAAGTAAAGGTGATAAAATACATCCTTGCCTTACTCCTTTTTTTATTTCTATTTCTTCAGATAACTCATAATTAATTAAAATGTTGGCTTTCTGTTCCCAGTAAAGATTTATTATAATTTGTAATTCATTTCTATCAATTCCTTTTTTCCTAAGTATATATATTAATTTATCATGCAGAATTCTATCAAATGCTTTTTCATAGTCTATAAAACAGGCATATATATGCTTGTTAACCTCTAAACTTCTTTCTACCAAAACTCTATAAGCAAAAAGAGCTGCTCTCGTTCCATAAGATTTTCTAAACTCAAACTGTGTGTTGCTTAAATCTTCTTCACATTTTTTATATATTCTTGTATGAATTATTCTTAAGAAAATTTTAAAAACGTGACTCATCAGGCTTATAGTTCTATAATCACCACATTTTTTTGGGAATTGTTATAAACGTAGACATTAAATCAGGGGTTTCCAACCTTTTTATTTCTCTGGGCCACATTGAAAGATATCATGAAGTTTTGGGCCACAAGTATATATAATATACTTGTGGCCCAATCCTTAAATATATTTGTATATTTAAGGATTAACATGTCTAGATTATAGTAATAAGTATTAAACTTTTATCACGAAAAAGGATATTTTAAAAAGTTACTTCTACAGACACTTCCAATTTTTACTTAGAAATAGATAAATTCATTTATTATAAAGGAGACAAACAAAAATTTATTTGAAGAACACAAATATTTGTTTTATTTGGGCCTCTAATTAATAAAAAATGACAAAACACTATTTTATGGGCATTTTTATTTGACTAATATATTTATAAATAAGATGTAGCCAAATAATAATTTTACGCCAAAATAAAAAAGGGTAGCCAAATTTGGCACAAAGTAACCAAATCATGCAACACTGGAAGGAATACTAAATAAAGCCGGAATTGGACTCAGAGAATTATAGACTCAAATGCTGGGAAAGGATAAGTGAGGAAGATTGGGAAATTATGGGTCCATATTTGCTTAACAGAAAGTCTATGTAACCTTTCTCACTACTTTTTATCTTTTGGCCTTACTCTCCTTTCCCCAAATTTGGGTCTATAATTCTTTGAGTCTTAAGTTTAGCTTTATTTAATATTCCTTCCTCATTCACACATTTCCAAGTATTTGAAGATATTTCCTTTCCACTCAAAAATTAAATATGTATAAAGGTTTACGGCTTTGTGAAACTTTTTTTTTGAATTTATGCTGCTGAAATAAATAAATAAAATAAAATTAAAAAATTTGTCAGTTTTGTTTACAAGTTTATTGGGCCGCGGTTGGACACCCCTGCATTAAATGATCTTGAGGAATTACACCACTTTCATAAATAATGTTGTAAAAATCCACTAAAATATCAAGACTATCTTCATACAGTAATTTCAAAATTTCAGCAGGAACTTCATCTGTTCCGGTATCTTTACCTTATTTAGTTGCTCTAATTGCATTCTTTACTTCTACTTTCAATATTGTTGGTCCTTCTTTTTTATCAATTATTATAGGTTTTAAATTTCTCTCGTCAAAATATAATTTTTCAACATATTCTTTCCATAATTTCAGTTTTTCCCCAATTCCAAAACAAAATCACCCTTTTCATTTAAAATATTAGTAAATTTATTTCTTCTATTTGTTCCGGTAAGTTCTTTAATCATCTTATGTACATTATACGCATCATGTTTTCTTTGCAAATTTCCAACTTTCTTGCATTTTTCTTTCATCCAGTTTTCTTTTGCTTGTTTAATTTTCATTCTTATAGTGACATGAAGTTCTTTATATTTAGAAATAATTTTATTTTTCCAATGTCTTCATTTTTCCATTAATTCTAATATTTCTTCTGACATCTCCAAACGTACGCCGNGGCGACAGTTCGACACACCGGATATACGTCACTCTCGTCTAAGTTCGACTTGGGAATTTTTTTGTTCAATAATAAATGTGAATTCTTCTTCCTGGAAAAAATAAGACCTAGCGCATTTTTCAGAGCAAAAATTAATATAAGGCACTGTCTTATTTTCGGGTAAACACGGTAGTAAAATAATTTTAATATTAGTAATAATAATTTA